ACGTATTCTGCGGTGAATGTGCTTGTTAAGAACTTTATCTTGACAAAAAACCACGAGCGCAGCCTACAACTAGATGGAGTTACAATTTGACCTGACATGTATGATGTTGAAGGATGCAAGTGACTAGTCGCCATTCTCTGTAAAAATCTCGTGTTTAGCATTGGATTCATGATGGGCAGAACGATGACCTGTAGGAGACGCTGTCTGTCAGACCTTAGACCTTGTGATGGGGTTTCTTATAAAATATTTTCAAACTATATTAATTAAGGTATTAATGTTGCAGAAGAGCTGTAATATTGCACAATTACCATCCTTTTTCGGCAACCTATAACAATTAATTGCTAAACATGGACATTTCCAGCTGTCGGATGTATTTGCTATAATCACTATGGTTTTAAGCCGGATTGACGTTCACATTATACGTAGCGGCACGAGTTGTGAGCACAGCCTTGACATGCGTTTTAGTCGATCTATAGGTCTCTTTGGTGAACTACAAGCGCGCGGGGTGGGTACGGTGAACATTCTTTGACACGATTGGTCCGTTGGTTAATTTTCGTTATTCGTTGGATATTCACGTGACATTCGCCTGCAGTATATTGGCTGGAAAATGTACATGCTATGCTGTCACTTGGTGCTCACGACTCGCACCGCTATCTATACGAGACTCTTACACCTTTGACGTCCCACGCGACAAATTAGGGTTTCTCTAGATAGTTTATTTTACTTATGAAAATCTTTATTACAGAATATAATAATCTATGCTTGTTAATAATAAATCTTAATATTAACAAGTATAGAATTTATGATGACAAACAAGTTAAATTATACATGCAATGAACCCTACCATGTGAGACTTAATAAAGGTATTTAACAATACCTGTTCTATAGGTCACTAGAACCCTCCTCTCGGATATATATATATATATACATCTTTAAATTACACGTTTGGTAAATATACTGAAGAATGACTTCTTCTGCTCATTTTACGCAACTTGTACTTTCATACGTAAAATGTTGGTAAAAAAAAAACTACAGTACACATTTAATTATTTATTTATATACATATCTAGGTATATATTTATTTATATAAAACTTAACTACCTTCAATATTTACGTATTATCGATAATGTTTTGGCACGCGATTCGTAGAAAAAAGCTTGGTTCATGGCCTTTGTTAACCTCTATATTTACTATGATGATAATCTTTTCTCTGCGAACGAGTGACAAATATCATTGCTTTCTTCATTACTTTGATCCATAGTAGAAGTCTAGAATATTTTTATATGGAGTAAAAAGCAGATCCGGAGCAATTAAATTGCGAGCACCAACAATATTTTTACCTCTTATACAACATGCAACAAAAGCCGTGGAGTTTTCTAAAGTCAGTTCTATTCGTTTGAATACTGATTCTGGTGCGTTAGATGTAACTTAACGGAAACCACAGGGTTTTTGTTGCATGTTGTATATATCCCACTGCTTCGAACCGGGCTCTCAGAAATCTATGATCTTATTCATATAGAACTGGGTAGTTGACACTACCATTAATAAATGACCATCATCGTCGTTAAGCCTATAAAAAGTCCACCGTTGCTGCTGCAACGTTGCAACATAAGCATCCTCATAGACTGCCTCAAATGGAGAACATTTGTCATTATTATCACGCTGGACAAGCGGGTTGGCTACCGTAGCTTATTATTTTGAATTGTAATCAGCAAGCTGCTGCTACCCATCTCCAGTTTCATTTCCCTATGTCGCCTCTTAAGACACATTGACAGCTTGTATGCTTGCTACAATTGAATCTTAGTAAAATCTTTGAAATTTTGTGCCAGGTAATAAAAGTCGAAGTAGTTGCGATGTAAGAATATTTTCTACCCCATTTCATTCCGTGGGTTATGAGTGGTGGTTAAAAGGCGCCAGGGGAAATGAAACGAGGTGGGCAGCAGGGCAGGCGGCAAATCTTCGTAGTAACACCTCAAAATAAAAAAAAATGCGGATACCAACCCGCCTACCAAGCGTGGCAACTATTTAAAATATGCTCTACGAGACAATCTTTTTTATTTTATTTTAATTATATTTTATTTTTAGAAAGGCCTTATAGGTTCCGCAGTGGAGTTTTTATAAGCTGTAATGAAGATAACTACATTAAAATAATCTCACGGTAATTTTGGAGTGAGTGTATCGTTTTATATTTTGTACGAGACCCATCTTTTACTATGAATCAAAGTACGAAGAGTTCAGTTAACTCGATACCCTGTCCATATTTTTTATTAAACCGTATAAAAACTATGTTCGTAACTAGAATTACATTTTGTTTGAAAAAAATTGGAATTGGCAAGTCATAATGTCAATATCGTTTCATTTAAAAATTCTTTTTAATTTGCAAAATTCCCTAGTTAATGAAAGCATTTTAATGAGTTTGATTTCATCAAAACAAAATATTAAAACTTTACATGTATGATGTTCCTTATGGACCAAGGATTGGAATTTTGTGGGAATTTTTACGTGAGATATATCGTATTATATTGAAGTGTGCAACAAACACTGCACTGTTGCGCGTTTTGGTCCCGATTAACGCTGTACTTCTTTATGAATAAATAATCCTTTGCTTTCTGAGATATATGATAATAATTCTTGATACTTGATAACTGTTATGTCCACTGTTTATCATACTTTGTCTTGTTTTCTAACATTTCTTTTCAAATCTGTGTTTTGAAACGGTTATATAATTTATTCGTTTAGTTACAGTAACATCTATCGCAACTAATGCATTTTGATACACAATTTTCTAACGAAAGTCTGATGTAAATTTCGTTTTCAGATGATTTAGATGTAATTTTCGTAAAAAGTCGATATGCAATAACAAGAAAAATATTTTTATAGTATAGTAAATTGAATGTTCTAAAATTCAATATTGCCGAGATAATATTATAAAATAAACAAAATTTAACTTCAATTTAGAAAAGATAACATTTTATTATCATATTCGTATTTTACATTATGAAAAATAATTTTTAAACATTACATACAACATTGACGTATTTTTGACCAAATCCAATCGATCTTACGCGAAATTTGATGATTATTTAATAAATATTGTGCGTTTTTATATATACTATAAAACATTGTTTTACGCCGATGCAGATGAATACAAACAAGATGTTGATGAAGTATATAGCTGATGTAAAAATTGGCACCAAAATTCAAAATATGTTACGAATTCTAAAATATTGCCCCGGCCATGTTCTTTGATTCATCCACATCTAAATAATGCATTTAATAATTATTTCATCATTAGTATGGCATGAAGAGTAAACTTAAGTAAATAAAAATATACACTGGTTTACTTATTAGTTAAAGACAAGATTTCATTATTTAATTTCCAATGCATTGCAGTTTGACTATATTTTTTTCTTAATTTATTTTATTAAATTATTTTTATAAACAAAGCATTGTAAATTAAAATTCATTTAACACTAGTAAAGTAAAGCTGAAGCCAAAATCAAAATAAATGTGTAAAATTAATAATAAAAATGAAGCGAAATTATAGTTATGTCAGTCGGTTAAAATCATTGGCAGAGTGAAATAAAATTTTATATTATGTACAACACAACCAACTTTACAATAAGGTATGTATTTGATCAACAATGAGTAAAACTGTTGCTAAGTTGACTTCGCAACAAAATGATATTTCATTTGGTTGCATCATACATTTTAGAAACGCATATATCAAAAGAAAATCAGTCTTAAAGTAAGATTACAGTTTAGATTAAATTTTATATACAATTTAAACATAATTTGTCATTACATCTAGATCTTTGTGACTTCGCGCCAAAATTTATTTACATAAAGAAAAATTTGACATTCAATTTAACTTAAAAATAACTGATTTCCGAATGTTTATTGACTCCGAAGTCACATAATATGCTGCTCATCAAATCCCCAAACATACATACACTGTACTTATAAAAACCTTAAAACATACATTCGCTATCTAGTTTAATCATAATTTACAAGTTATTATTTACATAGAACATTTTATAAATACACAATTTGGCTGGATACCTCTTTAAAAAACTTTCCGTTCATATTGAACTATAAAATTGCAATATTAAGACAAAAAACTTAAATACCGATTTTATTGTCAAACACTTCAGATAGTTTTCTAGCGTGAGTAAGAGTAACGTAAGACGGTCTTTTATGGATATGCCAAAAACCATTTTAAACTCCTATCTCATATAAAAGAAAACTAATTGAATTCCACGACAAAATTGTGCAATAGTTTTATATATATATATATATATATATATATATATATATATATATATATATATATATATATATATATATATATATAAAACAATAAATAAGTTATTGCGCAACAAAATGCGTATCTAAATTTGTTGAAAGTTTTGTCCTGACCACTTCCCGTGCCTCCACTCATATCACAGTAGCGCGCTATAGCTCGCTCACTCACTACCGTCGCATCTGACTAGGCTGTCCTCTTTTCACACGAACCGAATTCCGATTTGGCAACGTCACAATCGTCAGTTTTAAAAACTTGGTGTTTTCGTCTAAGTTTCCGAATTTCATTAAATTATTTAATTAATTTGCTTATAAAACAAAAAAATAAATATAAATGCTACGATAATTGCCTTTTTGTTCAGGTTAGATATAGCAATCTAAAATAACATCTTTAGTAAATATTTACAACAAAAAATATATTAATAAGAAGGAATATCAGTGTTATGATATCGTAACATAGGTTAATAAATTAATGTTGCAAGGCTAAAAACAATAAAAACGAAAAATGCCTTAAAGATTAGCTAGCTGCTTGTATTATTATGCCTGCAATATTACCAAGTTGACTAAATCAAGCTGCACTGCACAACCTAAAAACCCAAGTTTCAAACGAGAGAACGTATCGAGACGTCGCCGAGGGGCACTTATATCGACAGTTAGACTTGTTCAAATTTCACGTGACGTCACCGGGCGGGAAACATCTAGAACAAATCGGTGACGATGGTGCCGAACCAGGCGCAAACGACGGGCAACGCGTAGGTGAACAGCGCCTTGGCGAGCGACGGCCGGTCCGCCGAGCCGGGCACGGACTCCCGAACCGGGGGCGAAGTCCGGCCGGACTCTTTGCCGGACTCGCTGCCAGACTCGCCGCCGGGAACGACGGCCTCAATCCCGGAATCCGCAACCCGGCCGCGCACATTCACGTTATTGGTGCCGGGCCCGCTGATGATGTTGGGCACGAACGGCTCCTCCGTCACCGGGACCGGTCGCGCTTCTGTAGGCGTTTCCGGTGTTAACTCGTCCGTCGGTCGACTGTCGCCCGAACCTGCACAGAATTAAATTATTTAGTGTTAATTTTATGTCACGCTATTGAAACACGTCTATGTTACCATTAGTGCTTAAATTACAGCAGGTCATGTTACTAATTATATACTGATAATGACTCCTGTTAATAACATATCCTGTTATAGTAGAAGTGGTAGGATTCCTTGCCTGCCTAGGAGTTAGTCTAGGTAAGAACCATCCTCTTACCTACTTCTGTCGCTCAGACAGTAGGATAGGATGCAATGATGTGTTACAGTCTGAAGAGTATAAATAGCCAGTATAATAACGGGCTATGAAGTATTCCACCTTAGTCCTTAGAGGTGAAAATGCATCTGTAGCCTTTGGTTTTAGTTGGTTGAAGTTGGCAGGTGTCCATGGGCTGCTGTAGCCAATTACCATCATCAGGTGAACTTTTTCCACCACTAGAGTCACTAATAACTATATTACCTTCTGGGTAGTCTGGATTAACATCTCTATCCTCGTCGTCGTCAGGTAAGTTCTCCGTGTCGTCGGTATCGTCGCCGGAGCCCGAACCCGAACCCGCGGTCTCCACGAAGTCGAGTGAGGAAGCAGCTGCCTCTTGGAAATTGTCTGTTGATGAATGTGACAATTATTTCAAGTTAGCATTTTTGGAGTACTACGCTAATTAGATGGAATTTTAAGACATTAATCAGGCACATGTAATGGGACAACATGACTTTCATGATTACCAAATATAAATATATTAACGTGATATAGCTACGTTACAGCTATATTACGACGGTGGTAGCATAAATAGGCAAGGATATCCTCAACCGGGGTAAAACTACGTTTTCACAAAATACCAGTGTAAAATGGCCGCGCAATGTTTCTTAAGGTATTCTATCTTAGTCCTTAGGAATGAGAACTCAGCGACATTTTGATTTTTTATCACATACAATTAATTTAAGTGCCATTCCTATTCTATTAAAAATATATTTTTAAAAAGTTTTCTCCCTCAAGTTGAGTTCAACGCTTTTTAAACTTTGTTTACTTGCAAATTGGAAGCATGTGTTGTGTTAGGAATTCGGATGTACTAGTTACCGCTTATGTATATTAATAATTGTTTATAACGTGATTAAAGTTTTGTTGTAACATCTTGTTGTCGCGTATACCTGCTATCACTCAATCGATTGATAAATTCGAGTAGTTTTTTAATTTTATTGGTATATAGTATTATCGTATAAACATAGCTGTATAAAAACACTATACATTTTTGGTCCTCCGAGCCGGATGGATGAACTCAATTCTTATTCCTGCAATTACCTAAAAATTCTTGCGAATAACTTGGTTATTAAGACGTGAAATGGAGTATTTTATTCTTACATTAAAATGATGCTTGTTTAGATCCGGTTTGAGTCTGTTGGAACAACGAGAACGGCTGTAAATCAGCATTCGTGTTACAGTTGAATAAACTGTATGTTTTAATTTTAATTTTGTTTGAAGTAAAATTGTATATATGCGTAAATTCATAACTCCTTTTTTGATTATGTTGTAAAAAAAGAGGATGAAAATAATTGCTCGAAAGAACGGCTTTCGATAAATTGTTAAATATAGATTTTATGACGTATATATTTAAAATACTTTTATACCCAGCATTTCGAATGTATAATCTCAATTTAATAACTGGCACTGTGATCCCCAAATCGTCTGTCGAGCAACGGTAATTTTTAAACACGAGGAAGGCTATTATGACCAGCATTTGACTGTCCAGGGGCTGATTGAAAAGACTAATTATATATAGTATAATATAACTATTAATCGAAAGGATTGAAAGAAACTAGAGATAAGTTGACTTACCTTCGTCCTTCCATTGGACTTCTACGCCGTTATATGCGTCCTTGAGTCTTGCGGTGAGTGCGCGCAAAGCATCGATCTGCACACGAGCTGCTGCCACTGGCCCAGCGGCGATAGCACCGGCACTGCGCACCTCCGGGTTCGAAGCTAATGCGGCTGTCCCGTCGCCTGCTGTACTGCTCGTGTAGCTGCAATTCAAATGAATAGTTAGAATCGTAATAAAACACGTATGGGGAAAGACTTGACCAGTGAGGGCCACGCTCTCACAGGATACCAGCGTCAAATAGCACTTTAGTATCGCTGTGTTTTGTATGGGGAATATAGAGCCGGAGAACATTTTTCCTGGAAACGAGGCATCCTGTCTTAGTCCTCAACGGTGACGATGCATCAGCATTATGATTCTTAACTGAAGATTTATGTAAATGTGTATAAGCAACAGCATCTACTTACCATCTGGTGTGCTGTGTGCTCGTTTGTCATCTTTATTCAATAAATAAGCATGAGCCAGCAGACAGTACAGATTACGATAGTACCTCAACGCGGCCGAGCAGACATTATTTTGATGTTTACATCACCATTGGAGCACTTATTTCATCGTTTCTACTAATAGTTTACATGCGCAGACATTTATTACACAAGTCAAACCATTATTTAAACAATAATAAAATTTCCGCCTAAACCACACTATAAAGTTTGTAAAAGAAGAGTATAAAAACGAGAACAGATGTGACGATCGTAGTCTTTTAGTCTGAATTAAGTTTGCAGCAGTTGGCAGCTGCGCCCAGTAGCGGCGCGAGGCTTTGAGTTAGAGTTAGAGTTAGAGAGTATGTACCTGGCGAGCGCGGAGCCGTTGTAGCAGGGCGCGGTGGTGACGCTGAGCGGCGCGCAGAGCGCGGCCGGCAGCTGCGCCCAGTAGCGGCGCGAGGCTTTGAGTTAGAGTTGGAGTTAGAGTTAGAGAGTATGTACCTGGCGAGCGCGGAGCCGTTGTAGCAGGGCGCGGTGGTGACGCTGAGCGGCGCGCAGAGCGCGGCCGGCAGCTGCGCCCAGTAGCGGCGCGAGGCTTTGAGTTAGAGTTGGAGTTAGAGTTAGAGAGTATGTACCTGGCGAGCGCGGAGCCGTTGTAGCAGGGCGCGGTGGTGACGCTGAGCGGCGCGCAGAGCGCGGCCGGCAGCTGCGCCCAGTAGCGGCGCGAGGCTTTGAGTTAGAGTTAGAGTTAGAGAGTATGTACCTGGCGAGCGCGGAGCCGTTGTAGCAGGGCGCGGTGGTGACGCTGAGCGGCGCGCAGAGCGCGGCCGGCAGCTGCGCCCAGTAGCGGCGCGAGGCTTTGAGTTAGAGTTAGAGTTAGAGAGTATGTACCTGGCGAGCGCGGAGCCGTTGTAGCAGGGCGCGGTGGTGACGCTGAGCGGCGCGCAGAGCGCGGCCGGCAGCTGCGCCCAGTAGCGGCGCGAGGCTTTGAGTTAGAGTTGGAGTTAGAGTTAGAGAGTATGTACCTGGCGAGCGCGGAGCCGTTGTAGCAGGGCGCGGTGGTGACGCTGAGCGGCGCGCAGAGCGCGGCCGGCAGCTGCGCCCAGTAGCGGCGCGAGGCTTTGAGTTAGAGTTAGAGTTAGAGAGTATGTACCTGGCGAGCGCGGAGCCGTTGTAGCAGGGCGCGGTGGTGACGCTGAGCGGCGCGCAGAGCGCGGCCGGCAGCTGCGCCCAGTAGCGGCGCGAGGCTTTGAGTTAGAGTTGGAGTTAGAGTTAGAGAGTATGTACCTGGCGAGCGCGGAGCCGTTGTAGCAGGGCGCGGTGGTGACGCTGAGCGGCGCGCAGAGCGCGGCCGGCAGCTGCGCCCAGTAGCGGCGCGAGGCTTTGAGTTAGAGTTAGAGTTAGAGAGTATGTACCTGGCGAGCGCGGAGCCGTTGTAGCAGGGCGCGGTGGTGACGCTGAGCGGCGCGCAGAGCGCGGCCGGCAGCTGCGCCCAGTAGCGGCGCGAGGCTTTGAGTTAGAGTTAGAGTTAGAGTTAGAGAGTATGTACCTGGCGAGCGCGGAGCCGTTGTAGCAGGGCGCGGTGGTGACGCTGAGCGGCGCGCAGAGCGCGGCCGGCAGCTGCGCCCAGTAGCGGCGCGAGGCTTTGAGTTAGAGTTGGAGTTAGAGTTAGAGAGTATGTACCTGGCGAGCGCGGAGCCGTTGTAGCAGGGCGCGGTGGTGACGCTGAGCGGCGCGCAGAGCGCGGCCGGCAGCTGCGCCCAGTAGCGGCGCGAGGCTTTGAGTTAGAGTTGGAGTTAGAGTTAGAGAGTATGTACCTGGCGAGCGCGGAGCCGTTGTAGCAGGGCGCGGTGGTGACGCTGAGCGGCGCGCAGAGCGCGGCCGGCAGCTGCGCCCAGTAGCGGCGCGAGGCTTTGAGTTAGAGTTAGAGTTAGAGTTAGAGAGTATGTACCTGGCGAGCGCGGAGCCGTTGTAGCAGGGCGCGGTGGTGACGCTGAGCGGCGCGCAGAGCGCGGCCGGCAGCTGCGCCCAGTAGCGGCGCGAGGCTTTGAGTTAGAGTTGGAGTTAGAGTTAGAGAGTATGTACCTGGCGAGCGCGGAGCCGTTGTAGCAGGGCGCGGTGGTGACGCTGAGCGGCGCGCAGAGCGCGGCCGGCAGCTGCGCCCAGTAGCGGCGCGAGGCTTTGAGTTAGAGTTGGAGTTAGAGTTAGAGAGTATGTACCTGGCGAGCGCGGAGCCGTTGTAGCAGGGCGCGGTGGTGACGCTGAGCGGCGCGCAGAGCGCGGCCGGCAGCTGCGCCCAGTAGCGGCGCGAGGCTTTGAGTTAGAGTTGGAGTTAGAGTTAGAGAGTATGTACCTGGCGAGCGCGGAGCCGTTGTAGCAGGGCGCGGTGGTGACGCTGAGCGGCGCGCAGAGCGCGGCCGGCAGCTGCGCCCAGTAGCGGCGCGAGGCTTTGAGTTAGAGTTGGAGTTAGAGTTAGAGAGTATGTACCTGGCGAGCGCGGAGCCGTTGTAGCAGGGCGCGGTGGTGACGCTGAGCGGCGCGCAGAGCGCGGCCGGCAGCTGCGCCCAGTAGCGGCGCGAGGCTTTGAGTTAGAGTTGGAGTTAGAGTTAGAGAGTATGTACCTGGCGAGCGCGGAGCCGTTGTAGCAGGGCGCGGTGGTGACGCTGAGCGGCGCGCAGAGCGCGGCCGGCAGCTGCGCCCAGTAGCGGCGCGAGGCTTTGAGTTAGAGTTGGAGTTAGAGTTAGAGAGTATGTACCTGGCGAGCGCGGAGCCGTTGTAGCAGGGCGCGGTGGTGACGCTGAGCGGCGCGCAGAGCGCGGCCGGCAGCTGCGCCCAGTAGCGGCGCGAGGCTTTGAGTTAGAGTTGGAGTTAGAGTTAGAGAGTATGTACCTGGCGAGCGCGGAGCCGTTGTAGCAGGGCGCGGTGGTGACGCTGAGCGGCGCGCAGAGCGCGGCCGGCAGCTGCGCCCAGTAGCGGCGCGAGGCTTTGAGTTAGAGTTGGAGTTAGAGTTAGAGAGTATGTACCTGGCGAGCGCGGAGCCGTTGTAGCAGGGCGCGGTGGTGACGCTGAGCGGCGCGCAGAGCGCGGCCGGCAGCTGCGCCCAGTAGCGGCGCGAGGCTTTGAGTTAGAGTTGGAGTTAGAGTTAGAGAGTATGTACCTGGCGAGCGCGGAGCCGTTGTAGCAGGGCGCGGTGGTGACGCTGAGCGGCGCGCAGAGCGCGGCCGGCAGCTGCGCCCAGTAGCGGCGCGAGGCTTTGAGTTAGAGTTGGAGTTAGAGTTAGAGAGTATGTACCTGGCGAGCGCGGAGCCGTTGTAGCAGGGCGCGGTGGTGACGCTGAGCGGCGCGCAGAGCGCGGCCGGCAGCTGCGCCCAGTAGCGGCGCGAGGCTTTGAGTTAGAGTTGGAGTTAGAGTTAGAGAGTATGTACCTGGCGAGCGCGGAGCCGTTGTAGCAGGGCGCGGTGGTGACGCTGAGCGGCGCGCAGAGCGCGGCCGGCAGCTGCGCCCAGTAGCGGCGCGAGGCTTTGAGTTAGAGTTGGAGTTAGAGTTAGAGAGTATGTACCTGGCGAGCGCGGAGCCGTTGTAGCAGGGCGCGGTGGTGACGCTGAGCGGCGCGCAGAGCGCGGCCGGCAGCTGCGCCCAGTAGCGGCGCGAGGCTTTGAGTTAGAGTTGGAGTTAGAGTTAGAGAGTATGTACCTGGCGAGCGCGGAGCCGTTGTAGCAGGGCGCGGTGGTGACGCTGAGCGGCGCGCAGAGCGCGGCCGGCAGCTGCGCCCAGTAGCGGCGCGAGGCTTTGAGTTAGAGTTGGAGTTAGAGTTAGAGAGTATGTACCTGGCGAGCGCGGAGCCGTTGTAGCAGGGCGCGGTGGTGACGCTGAGCGGCGCGCAGAGCGCGGCCGGCAGCTGCGCCCAGTAGCGGCGCGAGGCTTTGAGTTAGAGTTGGAGTTAGAGTTAGAGAGTATGTACCTGGCGAGCGCGGAGCCGTTGTAGCAGGGCGCGGTGGTGACGCTGAGCGGCGCGCAGAGCGCGGCCGGCAGCTGCGCCCAGTAGCGGCGCGAGGCTTTGAGTTAGAGTTAGAGTTAGAGTTAGAGAGTATGTACCTGGCGAGCGCGGAGCCGTTGTAGCAGGGCGCGGTGGTGACGCTGAGCGGCGCGCAGAGCGCGGCCGGCAGCTGCGCCCAGTAGCGGCGCGAGGCTTTGAGTTAGAGTTAGAGTTAGAGTTAGAGAGTATGTACCTGGCGAGCGCGGAGCCGTTGTAGCAGGGCGCGGTGGTGACGCTGAGCGGCGCGCAGAGCGCGGCCGGCAGCTGCGCCCAGTAGCGGCGCGAGGCGCGCACGCGGGCGCGCGTCTCGCGCATGAGGCGCTCCAGCACGGGGCTGCCCCACTCCGCGCCCGCGCCCGTTCCTGCGCACACGCACACGCACGCTCAGTCTTGTCAGAGGATTACATTTCCCACATTATAAGTAGTAATTAATAGTAAATTGTATGTATAATTGTATCAATTTACTAGCAAAACCACAGTTATGGTCAGAAAAATCATCAAATGTCCATTATTTTTTTATTATTGAATATTTATGGCAGATAAAATAAATAATTATCACTTCGTAATTTTCACTTCAAATATATAAATTTTCAAACATGCCAACGTAGTTTAACGGGGGTAGAGCCACGCAGCAGTTTTTGCTGTTGCACGTAAGGGCCGGCTCGAGCCGGGTTGGTACCACGACCTCACAGAATACCGGCGTAAAGTAGAGGCTCTGCGTGCTCTGCGAGAAAGCCGACCTTTTAGGCTCCCTTTTTGCCTCCAACTCGACTCTTGATGACGGGGGGAAAACACCGCCGACCATCCCGCGGTGTGAGTGCTCCATGCCGGATGTGCTGTTCTCACAGCGCTCGGTTCGCACTTCTCTCCCTGGACATCCAGAAGTCGAGTGGGCCTGACGGAATCCCCCAATTGTGCTGATGACGTGTGCTCCGGAGTTGGCACCGGTCCTAACGCGTCTTTTCCGGTACTCCTACTCCCAAGGCGTAGTCCCGAATTCATGGAAGACAGCTTTTGTCCACCCGATCCCTAAAAAAGGCGACCGCTCAGACCCGTCCAACTACAGGCCTATCGCGATCACCTCCTTGTTCTTCAAAATAATGGAATCCATTATTAACTACCAGCTCATCCGGTACCTTGAGGATTACCAGCTGATTAGTGACCGCCAATACGGTTTTCGTCGGGGTCGATCAGCTGGTGATCTTCTGGTCTACCTGACCCATATATGGGCGGAGGCAGTAGAGTCCAAGGGGGAGGCGTTGGCCGTTAGTCTGGACATTGCAAAGGCCTTCGATCGGGTTTGGCACAAAGCGCTTCTTTCGAAGCTCCCTTCCTATGGGCTTCCCGAGAAATTGTGCAATTGGATCACCAGCTTCCTTGCAGATCGGAGCATCAAGGTTGTTGTAGACGGTGCATGTTCTGACTACAAGCCTATTAACGCTGGTGTTCCACAAGGCTGTGTGCTATCACCAACGCTGTTTCTTCTGCATATCAATGATATGTTGCTAACTGGTAACATTCATTGCTATGCGGATGACAGTACTGGTGATGCTCTATACACCGGCCGTGCCAATATTTCTCGGGAAAACGGCAGAGTACCGGAACAAACTTGTGTCTGAAGTCGAGTCTTTGCTCAACAAAGTCTCGGATTGGGGGCGACTCAATCTAGTCCAGTTTAATCCTCAGAAGACACAAGTTTGCGCGTTTACCGCTAAAAAGAACCCCTTTGTCGTATCTCCTCAGTTTCGAGGCACTCCCCTTCTTGCCTCAGCCAATATCGGTATCCTCGGAGTCGACATATCGAGTGACGTGCAGTTTCGTGGTCACTTGGAAGAGAAGGCCAAATTGGCCTTTAAAAAGCTTGGCGTGCTGAACAGAGCGGGACAGTTTTTCATGCCGGCACACCGCCTGCAACTTTACAAGGCGCAGGTTCGGCCTCACATGGAATACTGTTCCCATCTCTGGGTAGGGTTTCCCCAGTGCCAGTTCCTTCCACTTGACCGCATCCAGCGCAGAGCGGCTCGAATCATCGACGACCGAGCCCTTTCCGATCGGCTCGATTCATTGGCACTGCGAAGAGATATTGCATCCCTTTGCATTTTCTTTCGCATCTACCATGGGGAGTGCTCTGAGGAATTGTTCGGATTAATCCCAGCCGCCAAATTTCACGAACGCACATCGCGGCAGAACTCCCGATACCATCCACACTATCTGGATGATTGGCGGTCCACCACTGTGCGATTTAGAAGATGTTTTCTTCCTCGCACGACTTCCTTGTGGAATCGATTACCATCAGCGATTTTTCCGGACCGATACGACTTAGGGACCTTCAAGAAAAGAGCGTACTCCTTTTTAAAAGGCCGGCAACGCATCTGCAATTCCCTCCCTGGTGTTGCAGTTGTTCATGGGCGGCGGTAGTCACTTACCATCAGGTGAGCCGCATGCTCGTTTGCCCCCTCTTCTATAAAAAAAAAAAAACCTAGCTTTCAATCAAGCCATACAAGCGACACTGCGCACGATACCGAACTAACCTTCCGCTTCACAAAACACCACGTAACTGTACGATCACTTTTGAAAGCTAAGGCCGGCCTCACATAATGACCAAATAATTATTAGAATGACGTAACGCGTCATTCTAATAATTATTTGGTAATAATTATTTGGTTTGGTTGCGGAAATCAAAAATAATAAAAATTTTAAAACCATTTAGCTAAGATCCGCGATTTTAACCTAAATAGGGAAACATTTATAGTAACAAGACATCTTGTATCTCGACCCAACTACATATACCATCTGTATCCCCACTTATGTTTAACCTATAATATTATACAAATCCATGTTATTCTAAATAAACATCTCCGTTCGTTACGCTTCTTATCTATAGCCTAAAATCCTGACCTACTTTTCATAAAGTAGGTGCACTATGAGAAGTAGGTCCGGATGGAGTTCATCCATAGAATTTTTAACGAATCATTGCAACCAGGTGTATTTCCAGAAAAATGGAAAGTTGCAAAAGTTATTCCAATATTTACAAACGATAGTAAAAAGTTTACTAATTACTATCAAGCAATAAAAAAATCTATATTATTAGCCTTTTCGAATACATCTGAGGCCGTAGTCTATTCTTATTTTTTTTTAGCTATTTTAAGCCCTAACTCTCCGAAAACCAACATTGTGTTGTAAAAATCCCTCGACATTAAACAATTTAGTGTCTAATATGGATTATATAACAGAAAAAGTCGAGTCTCAACTCCCGAGTAGATGTCATCTACACAGCCTATGCTAAGGCGTTCGACTGAGTCTGCTATCGAACTTTATTGCATGAATAATCCGATTACGGTTTCTGTGGGTTTATGGTTGGTTGGTTTGAGACGTATCTGTGTAATTAAGTTAACTATATGGTACTAAACTGTTACAGATACGGACTACTATATATTTAGTTACGGCGTTTCGCAAGGTTCTCACCTGGGTCTGTGGCTCTTTAAATGTTTTCATTAAGGATATGAATTAACAAAAAATAATAGTAAGGTCTTCTTATTCGCAAACTTAGCTAAAAATAACTAGAGTACGATTCAAAACTTTTATAAGATGATATTGATAGTTTAGTAAATTGATATCACAATAATGTGTACTTGAATTAATCTAGCAATTTAATACCTATGCCCGAAGTAAGTAATTTGTTGACCACAGTACAATTTATCAAATACATATAGATTTAGGATACAAAAGCTGAGGAAATGATAAAAAAAATTGCCGGCTAGGCTGAGTAATTAAACTACTTTAGCTTTGACAACTTGTCGAACCGAAGAAAGTACCTTAATGAACTACGGACAGCGCTGAGCTATTACGAAAAATAAAATTTAAACCACTTTGTTCTACCCACTTCCTTTCAAACCTAATCTATGTCATAACAAAACTTTGGCTGGAAAGTTACCCTTACTGAATTTGATATTGGATTTTACGGAAGATTTTAGTGATTCCTTATCAACTATAACCTTGCATTATTTCCAATATTTTTCGGTAATTTTACTCTTAAATAGTTTTTACATTAATTTTATGTAGGTTTATATGTGAAAGAGTATTCTTTTTATTACCTCTGCTTGTCAAAAAGAAAGTCACTCTCGATTCACAAAAATCTCTTAGTAGTTATAGGCTAGTAGCTCTTATAGAAAAGTTTTTAACCTTAAACCGCAATGTACGATACAAAGTGACTATTATATTGATGTCAAAGAAATTAGCGAATAAGGCCTGTTGGTCCTTCAAACCGGATCAGAAAAGATGGACAACAGAAATGAACATCGTCACTCAACTCCGCGTAGATTGAGGTTTGTTTAAGAATACTGTGAATTATTTTATTCGTTAAACTAATAAAATGATTCACTATTTATAATTGTACTGAACCTCTCCTCCTTCAAATTGGAATACAACAAATCAGGTTGGGAGCGTAAAGAGCTAAGAACGTGGTAGCCATCTATATTTAACTATTTAATATATTGTCATAACGGTAGGTAAGCAACCCATTCGTGAGTAAAATGCAAGGAACTGTGAAGGCGAAGACGATCCGCCTCGTGATGGCGGCATTCGCGTAGATGAAAACCTTGTGGTTTCCGATAGATGGCGGTTTACTATTTCGAGTACTCCAGACGAAAGAGCTCACGCACAGAACTATGATACGCTTCAATCTGCTTGCCACGCGTTACTATTGACGCAAATTCTCCCCCGCCAATGTCCAGCGGTGGACTTTTACGGGCATTAGAAGAATAAGTGAAGATGATTGGCGCTTTAAAAGCGCATTAAATAATTTCATTCATATTAGAGAAGCTTTTACAAAAATTTACTTCGCAAATATCCGCGTTATAAAATAAAATGATGTGTCTTACCTAGTATGAAGAAGAAGAAGAAGAAGCACCTCCCGCCCTTCCTCAATTGCGTGCACTATCCCCGTCACCACTAATCCCAGCACCGCTACTCCCAACACCACTACACTAGGCAAGACACACCACTGGCGATAATACGACACGTGTTTCGCCTCTACACGAGGCATCCTCAGGTGATATAGACTCTACGGTGGCTAACCGCTAAGTGACTACACGAGGCATCCTCAGGTGATATAGACTCTACGGTGGCTAACCGCTAAGACTACACGAGGCATCCTCAGGTGATATAGACTCTACGGTGGCTAACCGCTTTATTTTATAACGCGGATATTTGCGAAGTAAATTTTTGTAAAAGCTTTTATATAATGGATTTTCGCAAAGTAACGCCTGATTCTATTAATTACATATTAGAGAATACAAAGTCCACTATGAGTTCAATAGAAACGAGTTGAATGTAAATTCAAGAAAAACAACTTCCTTCTGCGTGAATCCCATATCTCTGGTGCCCTTTGACCTACAGGACCCAAATTCAAACTACTCAAGGTACTCAAGGCTACTACCTCAAGGTATCCACATACCAAATTTAAAGTCAATCGGTCCAGTGGTACGGAAGTTATCGTGTCGGCATACAGACTAACAGACTGCCAGCTAAAACCATTAACTTCCTTTCAATGCTACGCAGAAGGAAGTTAATAACGCACTATGTACATGAGTTACATTATATCCTGCTAATGAAATTTCATTCCGAAGTATCGTAAGTCTGTCTACATAAAAAAATTATCGAAACATTTACAATTACACCTCCTAGTTGAAGCGAAAATTGCTAGAGTGGGAGTAACGTTTAAGTATTCGCAATCATTAAACCGAGAGCCGTGATAGATCAGGGACTAAGCGTTCACTGTAAATTTACTATACAATACGCGAGCAACCCAGATTCGATCCCCGTTGGCATCAACGAAATTGTTCATTGCAATTTAACTTCTGATTTACCGTGCTCACTGGTGAAAGCAATCATTGTGAGAAAATCTGCATGTGACATTTTGATATAATCAAACTAGAATAATTATTCTAACGTATGCTCAGACCAATAAAGATAGTCAGATGAAGCGCTGCGTACATTTAAAGGGACGCCGAAACTATGCTAACTAAATTGTTTGACACGCACTCACGCAACATCTTTGTTCTTTTTTTAATAGCCCGTGAAAGTACACTGCTGGTCGCACACATATGCATTTAAAACATTGTTGGCTGCAAATTATTTTTAGACTAACAAAGAATTGTTAGTCTAAGAACGTATGTTAATTTGCAGAAACTTTATCAAATGAAACATAATACTTTACAATTTGAAATAGATTTACCACACTGAGGTATCTAGGGTTATTTCCCAAGGGAAGCGGGGCTGATCTCCTGAAAAACGATGGCCGTTGTAGCCGACGCCCCATGTGCGCGTTAATGTTCTGGGTTTGGCATAGCCCATCCATTATAAAATAAAATTTGTAAAGTAAGCTGGCGAGTATAATCTAGGTTCGGTAGCGCAGTGGCGAAGCGTTATATTGTAGTAATGCCGGCCACGAGTTCGATTCCCAACATTAATAAGAATGACCTACAAATAATTCTTTCGGGTCTGGATGTTTATCCGTGTGCAATTTATGGTATGTAAATCGCGATAAAAGCAGTCAACATAAAATATGTCTTACCATGAACGTCGTCCGATTTACTGGCGATAGGTTTCTTTTTCTTAGATCCGCGTTTACCATCGAAGTCGTATGGCTTCATATAAATGTCCCCACCAGCGGCGTCGGGCTCTGCGTCTCTCTTTCTCCTCTCATGTTCCTCGTAATCCTCCAAATCTATATGTCCCTTCATATACTGGAGGAACTTGGCTCTCGACTTAGCCTGCTCAGCCATCTCCTCTGTTGCCTTCCTGATATCCTCTGGTGTCTGGAGACTGAGTAATGACGGGTCGTTGTTCATCAAACTCTCGAAAGACGCCTCTATTTCGAAGTCATCTACGTCGTTGGTTTTCTGATTCCAATCGAAGTCCGGTATGGACCGAACGAAGCGTCGTGATCGGTCCGGAGCGAAGAACGGTCCGGTACTGCCGCCGCCGCCCAGGTCCGGTTTCCCGCAACCGGCGAAAATTTTCTGGGAAATTTCCTGGTTATGCTCCTGGAAGCTCATGATCGCCTCCGATATCTTGATGTCTATCGGTTCAACGACCATTGCTATGTTGAAAGGGCCTTGGAGTCTATCGGCCACTTTTTCTACCGAATCTGTAATATAACATTATTAGTAGTGAATCCTCAATGAAGCTGCATGCAGTCATCATCAATGTTGTTCAAGAATTTATAAACTCCAATATTATTTATTAAACAGAATAATAGCAATGCATAAACACTACTATTTCTGTGTAGTGGCGGCGTGAGAATATCTACAGCAAAATATTCCATGTAACAACTGTACAGACTAAAAAAACTGCGGTGGCCAATCCACCAGCCAACCGTCGCAGTTATGGCAATCCTCATATGAGGCAATCTATGGGGGAGGCCTTTGTTCAGCAATAAACTTAAATAGCCTGTAATAAATAAATGAATGAAGAAGCACAACTAATATTCTGTTTATTACTCGATTCGATACTCAAAAGCTTTGCTAGGCTACTGTCGCTTCGAACTTCGACCAGTAGGTGGTGTGTTTGAAGATATAATATTCGATACATACCAACATAAGCGTCCCACAGCTCCCCGAGGTCTGCGTGCGAGGGCAGGCAGCCTCGGAGCACGTTGTGGCAGTAGCGGCTGCACGCCGGCGCCTGCAACTCGCCACAGCTGCCACAGAATCGAAGCCGAGCCCACGCAGTAGCGCACTCACGGCTCAGTTCCACCTGGGAAAAATTATTAAGTAAGTGAACTCAATTCCTCGTATTTCCAAGGTAGCTTTAATAGCGGCGGTGTAAGAATATCTACTACCCCATATCATCTCGTGGATATCTTTGTGGGAAACAAACCAGTCGATGGGCAGCAGCGTCTTCCTGAGAACAACTAGTTGTTAACTGCAGTTACAAACTCGCCCGCTAAGCTTGGTAACTATAGCAGATCCCCCCTCCCCCTGTGAGGCAATCTATGGGGAGGCCTACGTTTATAAAGCTCAATTAAGACCAACCGATCAAATTACAAAACGTGGTATAATGATATTCCCGTGTTTAAAGAAAAGTCTGTCACAAAAGAAGCCTCTAGCAGCGGTGTCACAAAATCTGACATTTGCTGTCAAATTCCATACTTTACCTTTTTGTTTGCATTTCTTCCACGGGACTTCTTTATTGAAATAGACACTAGTTTAAACCGAAGACAAAATTATAAACTACTTTTTGTAAAAGGATCGAGGTCATTAAATTTAAGCCGTGGTAACTAAGCGCTTAGGAAACACGAATTAAAACCCAATGATATTATCACATTAAATTTAAAATGCTGATTTACCACGTGCACGACGACCGTGAAGTAAAAACGTCGCAAGAAATTCTCCATGTAGAGAAAGTCCAAAAAAAATTCAAAGGCATGTGAAGTCCCCCAATATCCTGTGTAAGCGGATTTCCATGCACCAAAGCTCTTATAAATTAAAATCTGTGCCTAGCTGAGAATCAGTATGTAGGCTATTACTTAATACCTACTACTGATATTATGCGTGGTAGATATATACGTGGTAGAGCTATGCTGCAGGTAAATTATAGTTGTAGTACGAATCGGTCGGCTCGACCGGGGAAGGACCGCTCGCAGAATAAAATAGCCAGCGTAAAATAGCTTAATACTGCTGTGTTTACTGTGGTGAGTGTGGAGAAATGGAGACCCTATTTACTGGAAACGAGGCATTCTATCTTAGTCCTCAGGAGTGACAATGCAACTGCAGTTTGATTATTCATCGGGGATAAATGAAGATGTCTATGGGCCATAGTCCGCTTACCATCAGGTGAACTGTGTGCTCGTTTGTCACCCCTTATTCTATTTAAAAAAAACATATTTTGTAATAGGATGAAACTAATGATGAGTTCAAATTTATTGACACTTACACATTAAATAGCTTGCCATCGCGCAAAGCACGTGAGAAACACAAATCCGATCCCGGCCGGTTACCAATTATATAATTATTATATTCAATTTAAAGTGCCGATTAACCACGGACTCGGCAGTGAAGTGAAAACGTCGCGGGAAATATATTTTAGGGGCATGTGAAGTTCGCCAACACACCCTGCAAGCGGATTTCATGCTCCAAAACTACGAGGGTGCGTTTTTAAGTTCGCGGAATGGGTAGGCAGGTAATAAGTGGGGACGTCGCTGAATTACGTGCTAATTGAGCAACTCATTATTAGTATAAATACTGGGTTTTATTGTAATTAGATCATTAGTCTTTGAGTTATCGTCAACCAAACAAGTCAATCGGGAAGAAATTGTGAAATATGGAGAAAATCGAGTTCAGTGCCGTTATAAAGTTCCTTACCAAGCGCGAAAAATCAGTTCAGACTATCCTGGAAGAGATGTCATCCGTTTACTGAGACTCTTGTCCAAATAAAACTATGGTTTACAAGTGGCATACCCTTTTTAAACAAGGCAGAGAGTCACTTGAAGATGACCCAGAGCCAGGAACGCCGATCGTGGTGACCACTTCGGAAATTATTCAAAAAGTCGAAAAATTAATATTAGAAGATTAGCAGAAATGGTTGGAGTATCAGATACAACCACTTTCAAAATTCTTCATGACCATCTTGGCATAACTAAAGTTAGCGCAAGATGGGTGCCTAGAATGCTCACGCCGCCTCAAAAACGACAGCGCGTGGAGTTTTCTCGTGCATTTTTGGACCTTTGTATGGAAGACAAAGATGGAGGGTTGGCTCGAATTGTTACTGGTGACGAAACTTGGGTTCACCATTATGACTACTAGGACTCTATGCAGTGGCACAAAAAAGGCACACCACAACCCAAGAAATTTAAGGTGGCACAATCGGCTGGGAAAATCATGGGGACAGTTTTTTGGGACTCAGAAGGAATCCTATTAATCAATTATAAAGATAAAGGTGACTACATAACCGGAAATTACTACGCTTCAGTTCTAGAACAATTGAAGGAAGCCATAAAGGAGAAAAGAAGGGGAAAGAAATTGACCAAAGGAATCCTTCTTATGCACGACAACGCGCCTGTTCACAAGTGCCATGTTGCGATGGCTGCCCTGCAGAAGGTGGGCTTCGAAATTTTGCCACACCCACCCTATAGTCCTCACCTGGCCCCAAGTGATTATTATCTATTTCCAAACTTAAAAAAGGAACTTCGGGGGAAAAAGTTTTTAAGTGATAAAGAAGTGAAGGAAGCAGTTTCGGCGTATTTTTTAGACAAAGACAAATCATTTTTTTTTGAGGGTATATAATATATACATAAGTTAATTGAAAGATCCGAAAAATGTATTAGGGTAGCAGGCGAATATTTTGAAAAGAATAAATAAATATGGATTTTTATTTCCGCCTTCTTACCCCCCATTCCGTGAAATTAAAAACGCACGCTCGTATCTCAGAAATTAAAGCTCTCTGCCCAGCTGTGAGACGTACCTATGTAGACGATTACTATACCTAAGATATTTCGTGGTTATTATATATTTTTGAATTCTCTAAAGCTTGGTTACACGAAAATAATAATATTTTAATATTAATTTCATTCTGTTCAAGTCTTTCACATCTACGTAGTAAATGCGATTATCGTTTAAATCGATACACGTCTAGGTAAAATCAAGTGGCGCTGTAAAGCTGTAAACGATAAACGTTACACTTATATGGATGCTAACTGTGTTAATTCGCTCACGAAGTTGCAGAATGTTGATATAGATCATCTTTTGGTTGAATAACCTTGAATGTAGCAACCAATACTTGCGAAATATTACATATACCTCGCTTTCATAATGCTACTGCACGAATAATGTACTCTTTTGGGTTTACAGTAGTAGTACTATGTTTTATATAACTGAAATTGTTCCCACGCAATATGTATGGCAATAGATTAACAAATAGGAAACATCTGGATAGAAACAACAGTACTTGTAAGGGCATAGAATAAATAATAGTACTACATACAGAAGTTGCACTCCTTTGATGTTGACTGCTTGCCGACGTTTTAATAGCCTATATAATTATTATTAATCATATAAATCGCGCACGCAAGCTAAATAAAACGCTATCGCTGCGCCCGAGTGTCCGTATTAGGGTGGATGCCTATTACCAGCCTTTTAGTGCCAATTTCAACTTAAAAAATTGTTGTTATTTTAATTAGCGTACAAATTTTTTATACATTTATTTTAATCGATAGATTATTTACTTAAAAAATATAATGATCATTTATTTACAATTATATTATTTCACTACTTACATACGGTACACAGTCCACCTGATGGTAAGTGGTTACTGTGACCCATAGACATCTACATCTATCCTCAATAAAGCCTTAAGGTGACACTAGTCGACAATATTTCCATACAAATTTCGGAGGGGTTTTACTACGCTGTTTGACAGTGTACATCCAAAGTTAAACATGATATCGTTTTGTCTCATTATTAAATTTGTCTGTACGGAAACAGAATAGTAAAATAAAATGTTATTAAAAAGTTACGGGCTACCAAAGATTCGTTTTTATTGCCAATTTTAACACAACTTTGGGCGTAAATTAGTAATAAAAGAAGTGTAAAATTTCCAAAACAAAGTCGGTACCGACACAGCTCAATTATCGAAGAATTCAATAAATTTTATTCGTAATTGATTTATGCAGTGGTTTTTTCATAAAACCCCTTCTTCCAAAGGCCTTTTCGTATTTTTTTACGCGCGTATGTTACTATGAATTATCGTGCATCTCACTGAATAATGTTTCCCCCGGTGCGGTGCGGGAGGACGACGCTTACACACACATGCACGGGCGGTGACGCACGCTTATTCGAGTTTTATTCGAAACGAAAAGTTTTGCTATTTTGTAATTTGGACGCCAAAGACAAAAGACAGCATGGAAATTGATATAATTGAAAGAGATGAATGATGCGTTTTGGACGACAGACAATATTGTAAAATTTTCGTCTGTAATATAATATAATTATAAAAGTAAAAAAGTAAAGTCTATATACGATTACTATATAAAATTGCAACAATTTCATTGGTGCCGACGGGGATCGAACCCGGGTTGCTCGCGTAATGTGATACTTACGGCGAGCGCTAACCATCTGAGCTACCACGGCTCTCAATGCAAGTGTTATAAATAAATAAAGAATTACAAAACAGTTTAATTATTTATTAGACGACTCTTGCGGCGGACAAACAAGGTACATTATGTGGGATTTTCATAGGTACCTACTGTTATTACCTAGATACCTACAACCTACAATACAACAAAATGTCACAAAACGTCACCGCGTCGTGGCCACAAAATTGTAAACTTTAGGTAGGTACGTCAGTACTAAGAAAACAATCTTGATGGGTCACTTGTCTTGATAAAAACCTGTGTTTACATTTAGTGATATTGAGTATATATAAAAAAGTAAGAAGTCAGGTAAGTATTTTTGAAAACAATTTATAGGTAGGCAGAACTAATTACAATTACCTATTATCTAAATATTATAAATGCGAAAGTTTGGATATTTGGATGGACGGATGAATGGATGTATCTTACTCAATCACACCAGAACCGCTGAAGGGACCTGGATGATATTTTGCTCAGAGATAGGTTATAGTCTGGAATTTTATTATTTTTTTTTATTTTTTAAAAAATACGTTACCCCCACACTAGGATTTTCTCCTGTATCGTGGAGGCAGTTTACAAACATCCAGACCCGGAACAACTATTTGCAGGCCATACAAATACTTGTTCC